CATGGCTTTTGTATATTCCTACCTTTATAAGCCTGCGTTGTTGACTGTGAAATATCGACCTAAATTATAACGCGAAAATGTTCGCACGGTAAACGCTGTCTAATATAAAAGCAGAAAAAAATCAATGGACAAACAAATGTTCAACTTAATAGTCAGCTGATATTCAAAAAAATATAATAATAATAATATTTTGTCTAACGTGTGCGATTGTTAAAATTACAGTTGGATCAACGTAATTATGTATGATTAATGAATAGGTATTGAAAATAAAAATAAAACCTTAGTACAGGTACTGGGGATGGGTGTGCCACTGTTGTATACGGGAAGTTAACGAGGCAGGATATATAAAGTTGTAACAAAAACTATATTGCAAACGAAAAACGTTTCTGAACGAAATTCAACTAAATACATGTTATGAAATTCCGTCATTTTTACGATTTTTGTCAAAATTAATGTAATAGTATAGCTTCTGACTTTAATTTTACTGATGAGTTTAAACTTCACTGATTATGTATGGGTTTTGAATAATTGCAGTGTAAATTTCAGATTTATTATTTCATAATATCTGTTATTTTTGTTGCTTATTGTACTGTTTATTAACTATGCACTCTCTGTCTAAATGGATGTGAACGTAATCAATTATTTGATCTTAAAACGCGTATACAAAAACTACTAAATTACGCTTTAATTAATTTTTTTCTTATTATTATTGTTAATAAATATAACATAATAATGAACCTTGTGTTAAATATAAAAGTATTTCTGTTTGGTCAAACAATTATATCCATATCAATATATTTCCCAACCTAATAACAACTAAAAACCTTGAAAATTTCAGATGCCTGTAAATAACTCAAAAAACTAATATAAGTGTTCAGTAAAAATTTTAGGTCTCTCTACGATTAATTTAAACCATATTATAGCAATACAGAAAAAAAAAAAATCAAAAATAATGAATTAATATCATTAATTTTCTAATGTTACCAACGGGTTTTCTTAATTATTACAAAAATAACGTAGAAAATTCAAAAAACGACTTTCTTATTGACTCACTAAACAAACATTTTTTTCAGAAACGAAAAAAATAATGAAATAATGTAATCGTTAACGTCATAAATATTTTCCCTATTTTCATATATGTTTTTTTTTATATTTCCCAATTATTATCAAAAGCACTTGATAAATTGGAGGATTACACAAACAATATGAAGTTTTCATAATATTCATAGTTTACATTATATATGTAGGTTATGTTTGCAGTCAATGGTATTTCCAAACTGCCGAAAAACAAAAACAATTATCAAATTACACACGGAGTTGGTAAAAAAGTAAAAACAAAAACCAGGAAAGAAAAGGAAATCATTAGCTTTATAGAGAAATTCCCTTTTCCCCCGGTTCAAAAACAAAACGACGACGACATGATAATATGATAATGTTGATTATTATTATTTTACACATCCTGTACACAAATGACAGCTGAATGGACGAAATGTGTTATTTATTACCTTGAGGAAAAAATCATGTAATTTGGTTACGATCAATTTACCACTGGTAAAGATTCGTAGGAGCTTACAGGACACACCATGTTAAAACGTTAATCCGGTCTGTTTAGCGACCTCATTTCAATAATATGATTTTATTTCATATGAAGTCATTCCAAATGGCTTGTAACACAATATTGAGAATGGAAGATGACAAACAACTTATCCGCATGTGAAGTGAGAAATATAAACTACTATGTAGAAGAACGAAATGGAAGAATACTATGTATTACAACAAGCAAATGAAAAACCAGACACATACACACTGGTATCTTTGAATTCCATGTAACGATTTGTCTGATTGGTGTAACAATATTTTTCTTCATAACTTAGGTTCAAAATGTAATTTTGACCAAAATATGGAGATACTATCGGTTCGTACTTTTTTTTTGGTGTAAACCTTAAGTTGTTTATCCCGTCTGTTATTTTTTTTTGTAATAATTATGGTCACTCTAGTTTATCGTCCTCGATTACATTTCAGAAAATGCAATTATGCAATTAGACTTGTACAAAACATTTTCACGAAATTTTGCGGTACAGATATTATTTTAAAACGTATTGTAGTATTTCGCTAAAAAAAAAAAAAAATATGAGTACTCGTATTATACAAATAATTGTGAAACGTAATCATATAAATACTTTTTTTTTTTTGTATACAATATTGCTATATTAATAAAAATAAGAAATAAACCGAAAACGATTTTATAATATTTGACGTTCCCGTAATTCTATGATATTCGATATTTTATCTGATCTTACTGGTCACTGGAACAGTGCATTGTTTTGGAATGATTAACATTTCTATATCGCCATGTGATGTTAATTGCAAACCAGACACGGCCGTAAAAATAAATAAAATCTATACTTAATTTAAATCCGTTGGTGTAACAGAATATAAACAAATAGGGGGGGGCAAAATAATTTATTCACCGAAAGCAAAATCACGAGGGGGGAAGTAAACGTAAGTTAGATCGATGTATACCGAACAGTTGGTTAGGTTAGGTTAGCTAAATCTTAAAACTCATTTAATGACACTGAAACAAATCGTTGGTCTCCAATCGTTAAGTAATATTAATAACATTTGTCAACAAAATTCGGCATACATAATTAATAATTTATATTATTTGTATGGTAATACATTGTAGCTCGGGTAACATATATAACATTGTAACGTCATTAATGCATACATTACACTATAATATAATAGTTACTTATTAATTGATGAATAGTATCTAATAATACGATAACAATGTGAAATAATGATGTTGAATCAGGCTCGTCGCTAGGGTACAAACAAGCCATTCGTTGCTTTAGGGCGGCATGAAATCTTAATCAAATTGAAGCGGTGAAATGAAATTAACAATCGCCAAAAAACACCGGCATCAAAATGTTCCCTTTAGGGCGGAAAATATCTTACGACGGGCCTGGGTAGAATAATAAACATAAATCGAATGGTAATTTTAAATGGTTTTTTTTTTTAAATTTATTTCAAGTTTAATTAATGATACGGTGAAGGAATATTGATATTCTTATTTAGTTTACTTCAAATATAATATGTACAGTTCTCTGCAATAATCAATGGGAATAATTAGTTTTTTTATAACTTTAACACGTATATTTTTAAAATTGAATGCGTAGCTATCAATATTAGACTACGTGTGGAATTGTTTTAATATCCCCTGTATGTATTCATAAAATCAAATGGATTTCCAGCCAAACTATAGATGTTATCGAAAAAAAAAAACAGTGTGTGCACTATGTGCACATATTAGTTGAAGTGAAACTCCTAAGGATAGATTAAATTGTATTGCTTTAATAAAGATTGGAATGAAATATTTGTTGAATGATACACAATACTGTTTGGATATGAATATTATGAACTTCTTTCAGAGTCTTTCAACTGATAGAATTTTAGGTTTGTATTGAAATAAAATAAAATCCAATTGAAATTAATTTAATTTATTATTGTTATTATTAATTTCCTTATTCTATTGTCACAAAAGATAACTGAATTAGCCGTAGAACTTTTATTTATATTTTTTGTGTATGTGTGTATGTGCGTATGTGTGTGTGTGTATATGTGTGTGTGTTTGTGTGTTAGTGGTGGGAAAAATTCGGATTTCAAATTGGTCGAAAATCTGAACCCTTTGATTTTAATCCTGACAAATTAAATTTGCTCAGGATACGTTATTATCTGCATTCACATAAGTAATATATATATTTTCGTAATCAGAGGAGTGACCTTGATAACATAAAATTAAAAGTCGAAATTTTAAATGACCAGAGTAGATCGAGGATTGCATTTATAGATAGAGAAGTGGTATATTCTGAAAGAGGCGTTTGCCCTGCACCATATATTACAAGTTTCTCAGAATGTTTTTCTTATTGTATTCGCTCGCAGTGTCACTATTGTATGTAAGTGTGATAAATACTGATGACGTGATCACGACGCGTGCCGGTTAACCGGCGACCGAGCAGTCGACTGACCACAGAAACCGACCGAGGCTGATCGGGACGATTATCGTCAATTTTTGACAATTTCAGATAAGCTGATGCGCATGTTATGTGTGAATATGTTTCTTTGTTTTGTTTTAATATTGATCATAGTTGAAGATCATTTTTCACGTAAATAAGTAACAAGAAAAATTAATTGTTTTTTTTTTTTTATCGCATTTATAATGACAATTCTGATTAATCATTGTATAACGCAAACCAAAAATAAATAACAGTTTCATTTTTAAATTTATTTTCATAAGTTTTATCACAAGAAAGTTCGATAATCTGAGTTTCTAGAAGCGTATTGAAGTTCAACTTTTCAATTGAAACAGTAAAATGATTTCCAATCCATAAAAAGCCATCACGAATGTCTTTTGGAAAATAACCATTTAAAGCAATTGATAATTGGTTAAAATGCAATAAAATAATTTTATTTAATATCAGTGACATTCAGTAAGTCGTCGTCGTACAAACACTCCAGCCCGTCGGAATTGAAATAAAAAAACTATATAAATAGTAATTTAATGTCAAGACGCATATATTTCTGCCAAATTACGAGTTAATGTTTGATGTATTGATCAGAAATTATTTTTTTTTAGGATACGGCTTATAAATTACCAATAACTCCCGTTGCTAAACGTTTGCATAAGACGATTTTACATTTTTTTTTGCGACGTCCCCTCTAAAAATTTCAGGGCACTACAAATGACGACCATAATCACGGTGTGACGTGGCTGAAACAAAATAAAATAGATGGCCAATATAATTTTCGTCACTAACCAACAATAACCGTGTTGTTTTTATAATCGTATTGTAATACCAACCAATCGAAATAATATTTGATCCGACGAACAAAAAAAACGATTGTGAAGCGGAAATTAATTATTTTTTGCACACACTCGATAATATTTTCGTCGAGCCGCAACAAAGCTGAGTAAAAGTTCCGGAAAAGTTACGATTACGATGGCTGACGCGTTAACATTCACCGTGAACGCAGATCGCGTCGGTTTCGATTTCGCCGAGCATTATTATGCCGTGATGCGGACAACACCGGAGTACGCAAACCAATTTTACGACGATTTTGGGGAGTACCGGACAATCTATGAAGACGGGACAGCGGTCGTGGCCAGAAACCGATTGGAGATGAAAGAGGTTCTGTTGCGACCCAAGTCCGCGCCTGAGTTAACAGTTAACTCCATTATTTCGGTACCCTGTGGAGGATCGCTAGACCGACTGCTGGTCACAGTGACTGGCGATTGTTTTACGCATGTTTTCGTGGCGGAGAAACGTCCAGAACGTCTGCTAACTTACGCCATTGTGGCGTCTGTAACTCAACATCTTTCTGCCGGAGCAGCCGCTGACCGGTCGACAATAGCAAGAACGTTCGCTGCAGGTGACTTTTGTGCAGACACTGGCGCTGATGACACACCGACCGCTGGTTTAAAAGCGCAGGAACACGTAAGATTATCCAAAAATAGAGCCACTTCTTACGAACCCCTTCCTGATACTGTCACCGATAACGGGCAACCCGATATCACTGATGGAAACCCGCTGCTGAGAATCCTAAACATACCCGATCCCGCCGAATACACAATCGAAAACATTCCGATCACGGATGTAAAAGCAAAGAAACAAGTACGATTTGCCCAAAATATAGCCATTTACTACGAACCTCTTCCCGATACCGTTACTCATAACGCTCAAACCGATATCACAGATGAAAACCTGGTGCTAGAAATGGTAAACGACATATTTCGACACGTACCTCCTCCTGAAATCCAAACCGACTACAATCCTCCCTCTTCGAATTACGCCATCGAAAACTTGCCTCTAAGCATTTTAACACACATTATTTTCAACACACCTCCTCCTAAAATTGAATCGTACTCACCGAAAAATGCAAACAGGAATATACAACACAATTCAACCGAAAAATACTCACCTGTTGTAATCATAAAACATGAACCCAATTACACCAAAGTCTCAACCAACCGCGAACCCGTTTTATCAAAAACTGTTTCCGATAATAAAACTCGTGGTTCAAAAGCAAAAAAACAAGTACGATTTGCGCGAAATATAGCCACGTACTACGAACCCCTTCCTGATGTTGTCACCGATAACGGGCAACCCGATATCACTGATGAAAACCCGCTGCTGAGAATCCTAAACATACCCAATCCCGCCGAATACACAATTCATAGTGAATCTCTTCCTGATACCTTAACAGAAAACATTCCGATCGCAGGTGTTAAAGCAAAGAAACAAGTACGATTTGCCCAAAATATAGCCACTTACTACGAACCTCTTGTCGATACCGTCAACGATATAGTGCAACCCGATATCACAGATGATAACCTGATGCTCGAAATGTTAAAGGACATATTTCTTCACACACCTCCTCCTGAAATCGAAACCTCCTACAAACCTTCGTCTCCGGATTACGTCACAGAAAACATGCCGCTCAGCATTTTAAATCACATTTTTCTCAACATACCTCCTCCTAAAATCGAGACTTTCCGCGAACTCATCCCTCCAAATACTGCCACCAGTAATTTAAATATCAATTTGGCCGAAATAAATCCACCTAGAATCTTAACCCGCATATCCTATCACTCCAAAATCACCACTTATCCCCAACCATTTCAAAACACCGTTAGATACCAAGTTCCCTTCAGCGTATTTCAGCCGTTGAGAAACGTACCTATGCAAATAGGACCAATGATTACACAACCGAATTTTCTATTTACTGTCAATGGTGGGGCGCACCAACTATGGGTGAACCCTTATATTCAGCCTCGAAATTTCCATTTACCACCAAGCGTGCACCGCACTAATAACGTGTGTATACCGACAATACGTCGGGGATGAATGATACAAAAACAACATAACAAAATGCGCATGACTCTTGTTTTGTTTTTTGATATAAAATGTGTATAATTGTACTATTTTGTATTGTACATTACAAAAAAACGTTTCGCATTTATTCAATGCTAAAGTATGTATAATTTTTAACTTATGAAAAATACAAATTGTTTTTTCATTTGTTAAAATACCATGTGTTTGTTTATTATTTAAATGCATGCAATTTAAATTGAATGCTTTGCAAATTTAAAAAGAATCCCAATTTGTATTGGGTTCTAATAAACTCAAACCCATTTAAACTTGAGCCCAAAATCTGTTTTATATATATTCTGTTATTAATCTGTTATTTTATGATTATAAAATCTTTTTTATACGTGTTTTGCTTAACAAATAATTCAATTAGGTGCCGAAATCTTTCATTTGCCCATTAGATTCGGTATATTTACTCAGTTCATCCAGTTACAAATGTGTTCTAAAGTGGCAGATTATCTGTGTCAGATTTATTCCGGGGTTTAACTGAGTTCACCTTAATCTTCTGTATCAAATTATTCTATTAGTTTAACTGTCTGACTTACGTTTTATGTCTTCTTTCTGACTTTCTGTTCAGTTCCTGTTTGTTGATTGGGTTTTCTAATTGGTTCGTGAAAAACAATGTCCCTGGCTGTGACTATTCTTCTTTTTTCAGATAATCTTATTCTGTACCCGTTGTGTGTATGTTCAATTTTTTTCCTTCGAGTTTTGTTGTATAATTTGGTTCTCTAATCTTTTGTGTCTTCTTTCTGACTTCTTCTTCAGTTCTTGTTTGTAGATTGGGTTTTCTATTCGGTCATCTGTCTGTTCTTTATTATGCGATGTTGCCTACGAATATTATTTCGGGTCGTCTGGTTGTTCGTTACAGTGTTTTATTGATTCATGAAAAACAATGTCCCTGGCTGTGGTAATTCTCTGTTTTCAGGTAGCCTTATTCTGTTTAATTTGGTTTCTAATCAGTTTGAGTGTGTACAAATTCATCGAAACCAAAAACTTTATGATATTCAATATATTTTCCTTGTCCTAAACGGTAGTCCGGTTTGTGTTCCTAGTAAACAAAATTCTTGATACCGGATGCCAAATATCTGTTTTCATGTTTCACTTCACCTACCATCCATGAGCGGCCATATCGGCCTGTCACCCGAGAGCACAGGTTTTCGCTTTTTTTTGTGCACCGCCTCAAAAGGGCTGCGCGGGTAAAAATGTGTAAAAATGAATGCGACCGAGTTACATAATATGGTGTATTCTAAGATTACCTATTACTCGCGTTACGTGCGTCTCCGCGCGTCTAATGCACGTCCGAGTCGTGTGCCGATTCGTCGGAAGCACTCCATTGCCGCCCGGTCGCACGCGTTGGGGCCGTGTACACCTAGCCTGTCGCGAGGTGAATACACCGGTCACGAAAGGCGCGGATGTATAAAAATGTCTCCATGTTTGTGTGGCTGAGCGTCAAGGCAGTTCATTTGAATCTGTCGACGTCTAATCGAACTGCGAGGTCAACTACGTCGGCGTCAACCGGCGAGTAGCACCACGACGCACGCTTTTATCACCGCCAACTTGTTATCCCGTACGAGGCACTTTAACCTCACACAGTGTAGTCACTCGGTGCGTCGGAAATCTGTATTACGATAATGGATAGAAGACCTGGCACACTGCATACCCCCCATTAGCGATCAGCGCATTGATAAGACATGCAATTTCCCACAATCGTAATTCAATTTATTAAAGTTTTTGAACTTATTTTTAATATTATAGTATTTTATTTTTCTTATTTTTTTATTAATATTATAATCAAAATATTCGTCTTTCATTCATCGTAACCCATAGGTCGGGAAACACTGGTGTAGTGGTTTCACCCGGTACAAAAAGGACGACAAAAAAAAAAAAAAAATGATAATGAGTGTCTTGTGATTTATCGATCACTCTGTATGACGCAAGCCATAGATTACGAGCAATCCTTACACTAATAAACGTACGGGTAACGAGTGTATTTTATATTATAATAATATTTTATCATTACCGTATACCAATGGATATAATAATATTATTTGAAACGTGGTCGATATTATTTTATAAGGTCCGTGTTTTATCATTCGATTCGCGGAACCCATTTCGTAAAATATATACACATATTAATATGTAGGTAGAGCATTATATTTATATACAGTGATTCACTAAACGTTTTTTTTTTTTGGTTAAATTTAGCATATATTGAAATTCTGAGTTTTGGTATTTTTAAGTGTAGTTAAAGCCGATATTTTCAAATACTTAGATTTTTCACAAAATTTAATGAGTATTCTGTGGCGATACCAAATTTGGTTTTCAAATGATAATCTATCTTAAAAATTCCATAATTAGACGCAGCATTACATTTAATAATTGTTGGTGTTAATATTTTTGATTTCCGTCAACCTGTTAACGATATATTTTATTTTTAAGTTTAGGCAAGGGGAGAATAGTGGAGCACTAATAAAACGTCACACGTCTTGCCGCCACACAAATGTCTATGGCTCACTTTCATAAATGCCTATATTTGTATCGTAGTAATGCGATCGGCGCTGGATAGGGAATATACCGGATCTCCGGGTTTCAGGATGTTCACCCGCCCGAAATCATAAAAATAGATAAAACAGTCATAAATTCAATTGAAAACAATCATAATTTTGAGCCAAGATTTTAGTTCCAAAATTTAGCTACTACATTAGATTAGTAGCTAGCCGGTTCAATCCGGTCCTGGTCGTCATTAATCAATCGACAAAGCGTTACGACAGATTGAACGATTGTTTCGAGATGGTCGAATTGCTTTTGGATAAAAAGCAGGTAATAGTCGAACTACACCCGGATGGGTTTCAAAAAAAGATGTTACCACAAAAATGTTAGAAAAATAAACTTAATTTAAACGTTTTGAAAACACTAATTTTCGGTTTTTTTTTGTATCACTAGTCTTGTTATTTTTTCTAACCTTGTTATTTTATGACGGTAAAACCAAAATTGTCGTTATAATAGTAACATATTTGTACGTTTATCATTTATATAGCACAGATAATTTCATCATTAATCGACGAAAGAATCCGTAAAAGTTTAGATTAATACATATATTTTATTTGTGTACCGTATAAACCTAGGTATGTTAATATGGTAATATTACTACAGCTAGTGTATAAGGTTTGCGAATCTTTTACAGATTTTATGTCAACTATCCCAGTAAACCACAGTATTAAAGAATTTGTTGAATATTTAGTAGATAATTATATTTCGTATGAGGCACTTTTTCCACCTCATAAGTGGGCTTCGGATTCGATTTCTAGTCAGAGAACAACAAATGCATGCGAGTCTTTCCACGCAAAGTTCAATAAATCATTTTTGTCACCACATCCCAATATATTTGTCTTTATTGATGTTTTAAAACAGTTACAAATAAATACTTATATATAAATGCAGAATATTGATACAAGACCTTCAGCTACACGGTATCAGAAAAAAATTACGACATCGAAAAATGTATTGACTTATATATATATATATATGCTAATAAATCGATTACCCGATAACAGTTTTTGAATTCAGTTTGTTATGATTACTACGAAAAGTAACAAACAAATTAAAAAACCCTTTGAAAAAATTCTATAACATATATTAACATAATTATATATCTCAAAAGAGAAAAGCAGTTCACCAAGGTATTTATAGACCATTCAAAATTATTAGGGAAGAAATTGTAAACGCTCCAGCAGAATTAACAGAGTTATTAAATAGTAACGACATAAATTAAATACGAAAAAATATATATCATGAACATCGAAAAACTATCCGTTTTTTATCAAAAGTCTCTAATGTAACACATAATACTTTTAACAAATTAAAAATTAAAATAAATATTGATGAAGATTTTATGTTAACATAATTATATTACATACATAATAAAACAACTCATTTTTAACCAAACCATTGATTAAAATCATTGTCAGTCCTAAGCTTGTAAATAGGAACGGAAATAAGAACTTCAAAATGTTTTACGCCTTCAAATACATGATATTTTTGTCAAAATACCTTAAGTACAGTTCGACCATTACCTTTTTTTCTAACCCAAGTGCAATTCGAATAAAATAAGTGCGATTCGACCATACCCGATTGTTTCTACGTCATTATACGAGTACCCATATAGTAATATAGCATAGCGTCTTACGGATTATATTCCGGATTTCGGATCCTTGAAAACCAGTAATATATTGTTATTACGTTACATATACGACTGTCACTCGGTAGGGGCCGATGACGAGTATAGTGATAATTATTTTATTGATAGAATTGTCGAGAAAAAAAAAATATTTTGTAAAGTTCCAAAATTGTATTGATGTAAAATAAGTACCTATTTTATACTTTGAAAAATATTCAATAATTTTGGATGGGTTTTCGATATTTTTGAGAGGTTAAGTCCCCTCAAGCACCCCCCATCTCCTATGGGTTGGATCAGGATTTCTAGGGGGAAGAATTGCTTACGAAAAGAAAAAAATAACAACAAGCACGCATCGTTGTAAAACTAATATGCTCGTTCCGCTCATAATCTTAAAAACTCCCTGATAAATCGTTAATAAAGAAACCAGTACTAGAGAATGACGACGGTTTTGTTATTGTAACATAATAAATTTTAAAAACGGTTATATATATAAAAAAAAAAATAAAAATATTAATTCTCGTTTATCGGGTGAATAATAATTTCAGCCGAACAAAAAATGCGTAGGTAGGTGTAGGTACACCAATTATTATTACGACGTATTGTGTGGGGCGTATAATAAATTATTTCGACAAAAATACGAATTTAATATGGTTTTATTTTAATATACATACATTTTTTTTTTTTTTCCAAACCTTGAAATCTCGTAATTTGTTTCTTTTAGTGGTTTTGAATTTTGTGTATCCCTCGTGTATAATAACAACAATTATGTGGCGAATGTAAATTATAATTTTGGCAAGAA